AGCAGGATGCGTACATCGACACATTCACGCGGACGTACATGGACGAGATTGGTGCTTACAGACTTCCACGATACGACACGCCGGCTGTGAAACTCGCCAATGATGTCCCAAGCATGAGCGAAACAGGTTATTTTTCATCAAATTGTGGGACATATGTGGGGGCCGGATTGTGGACAGCCAGGAACAGTCGTCCTGAGATTTCATACGCTGTCGGATGGTTGGGTCGGTACACCACGAAGTGGACGAAAAGACAAGATGCGGCTTTGCATCGTTTGATGCACTTCGTTTGGTTCTCAATCCTGTTGATGTGCTGCAACGCACTGTACGACTAGTACTGTGGGTCGACTCCGATTGGGCGACAGATCCAGACACAAGGCGATCGACGTCAGGAGCTGTTTTGCAACTTGTTGGGTCGCACGGCACTCGCGCAACATTTGCTTGGCGATCGCATCGACAAGGTGCTACCGCAGTGTCGGCAGATCTTTTCGAACCTTTGTTGGGATACCTGGTTCCATTAGACATCATGACCGACTCAGCAACAGGCATTGCAGCAATCGATGATGCGTATGGTGTTCTCAAACACATGAAGCGAAGGCAAGGTGTGCTTTTGTCATGGTTGCATGATGTCAGCACTGATCCCGACAACAAAATCAAAGGAAACCAGCACCGACGATAACCTCGCGGACATCATGACGAAAGCATTGGTGTCATTGGAGAAGAACAGGTTCCAACATTTTTCAGAGCTTTGGGGAGTTCACCCGCATGGTTGAGATTTGCATGCGTGGATTTTCTCAACATGGTTGAGCTAGTGATTGACCGTTGATTTTCATGTTCATGATCATGCGCATGTATTGCTTGATTTTCCGAATGATCTTGCTGCTGCTTTCTTGATTTTCGGCAGATGTACGCAATTTGAAGATTGTCTTGGCCGCTGACGCTCTGTGAAAACCAGTTCGTGGGCAGTAACCGCAACGTTGACACCCAACATCTTGCCTCAGCATTCTTGTGCGGTCTTCAGTGCGGGCAAACCTTGCAGTTTTGACAGCCAAAACACAAGTTTGTACATTTTTATTTCATTTTCCAGTGATGCCATTGCCATGCTCGGCATGAAGGCGTAATGCTCGCATGCTGGAGGCTGCCAAAGCTAACTCGCTCAAGACTGATTGCATCAGACGCGCCTTTCAGACTTGTCTTGGCAATGCCTTGGCTCAAGTGACCGGGTGGAAACAACTGCTCCGTCGAAGCTGTGTGTAGCTGTGTGTGCTTGGGTTGTGACCAACATTTCCCGAAGGGCACGCCCCACACAAGCCATCTGAGAACATAGCCCATGTGACATGGTATCACGGATTTACAGCGTTGCCCGAGGGCACAGTGGGATTGGGACAACTTCCGTCTTGCGGGACAACCACATCTACGCATGTGTAGTGGTCAGAAGCGACACATCTAAGAGGTTTAACCTAGCTTGTAAATCACATCACCCGGTGAATACTCAGTCAAGCTTCGTCGGTTGGGGGTCGCACATCCACTGATTCAGCGCACCGCTGAAAGGCTAGTAAAAGGGTTGCCCTGTGCGCCTTTGATCGGACTTCCTTGTACACGCCGGTGTGAGACGCCTTTCGAGAAACACATCCATGCATATCTGGGGTGGGGTTTGGCGTTTTAATTGGGTTTTCAATGTCGCCTTACAAGCTCCCACTCTCTACTTCGGAATCCCCATGTGCTTGCCGGGGTAAGATGATTTCCAGCTAAATGTTCTTACGAGCTTGTATGCGGAATCTTTATGTGCACACCCGCGTGGGACGACTTGTGAGAAACACATCCATGCATATCTGGGCTGGAGCTTGGCGTTTTTGTGTTTTGTTTTTCCGACGGACATTTCGAGCTATCCATGCGCGGTCCCAACACAGTTGCAGACTACGGCCACGGCAGCTCAGCGCGCCGGCAGGCGGGTGGGCACAGGCGTAGTGCAGGCTGAGCGTCGGCCCACGGAGCGACGCGCTCCGCGCATTGGAGTCCGAGTCCTCCGAGGTGTGCCGGCAAAAGCGCGAGGTGCCGGGCGGTGACGACAGCGGGGTCTTGATCATCGGGCTCTTCCAGATGGTTGTGTAATCTTTGCCAAACTGCGTCGTCGTGGCCGCGTGCGTACGTGGCGGAAGGATCGGGCGGCAGGGTGCGCAGTGGGTGATCGGTGCGCGGGGCAGCACACATTTTTTTTTTGGCGTCGGCGGGCCTCGTCGGCTATGACAACAGTAGCACTCGGTCACCACCCTCCACCATCGCCCTGGCGCGCATGCTGGAGAGTGCATCCCTCACCGCCAGAACGCCCAATACCCAGGAGACCTGCCCACCAGAGGACACTCCCCCTCTGGAGCACTCAAATGGAAATCGGCCAACAAGGATTTTCTTTGCCATCAACCAACCCACCGTGGACTGGTTGGTGCGGACTGAAGCTGCCTGTGTGGGCCTGCAGGAGACCCATCTCAACCCGGAGGGCTGGCACTCTCGAAGGGGGATTTTTCAGCCTTTGGGCTGGGACCTCTTGGGTGACGAACCGGCCTCGCCGGGCCAGGGTGACCGCACTTTGGGAGGGACGGCTATAGCCTACCCCAAGCATAGTGGCCCCCTCATGCTGGAACTTGTCGCTGGTGGGATGTGCTTAGGAGCCACTCACCTCACGGTCATCAGACCGACCAACTCCACCATCTTAGGACACCTCCTGCCCTTCCTCCGCGGCCTCCCCGAGCCGTGGATCTTGGGAGGGGACTGGAACATCAACAGCAGGGAGGTAGCAGAAACCACCCTTGGGCAGAGCCCTCGTCCTTGCCAATGAAGCCACCACCAATTGGGGGGCGGAGCTCATTGTTATGGTCAGCAGAGGGCTCGCCTCGTACACCTCAGTCAAGGTGGATTGGCAGGTGCCTTGGCGGCCACATGGGGCACTGATGGTGGAGATTGATGGTTTCAGGGAAGGTTGGTTCAGGACATTACTACACCACGCAACACCAAAAGGCTACTGCGAGGAATGCCGTGCGAAGCAAAAGCTGGCAAAGGCTACAACATGTAAGAAGGTATGCACACTGCTCTTTTTCGGCTTGCCGGTAAAGCGACTGCTCAGACGTCGGCTATCCCGATCGGATCTTTGATCCGTCCGAGATCTTAAAGCAAAAGCTGAAGCAGCGGAGCAGTCGCAAAAGCCCGTATCGTCATGTAAGCGTATAAGCAAAAGAGCAACAAAGCTGGAAAGTAGTTAGAGCAGCAACAGCGGAAAGCGATACAAGACTGTCTAGCGGGCTGTGACTGAAAAGCTCCCTGTGCTGAAAGCGTGCCCAAAGGTGTGGGCGGGTGGGAAAGTTTTTGAAAGCGAGCTGCTGTTGCGTGGTGTATGCTTGAACCCAAGCGGGGCCGCGGGGATGAGTAAGTCCGAAACAACCCTGAGTAAACACAGGAACCGTTCAGGACATTACTACACCACGCAACACCAAAAGGCTACTGCGAGGAATGCCGTGCGAAGCAAAAGCTGGCAAAGGCTACAACATGTAAGAAGGTATGCACACTGCTCTTTTTCGGCTTGCCGGTAAAGCGACTGCTCAGACGTCGGCTATCCCGATCGGATCTTTGATCCGTCCGAGATCGTAAGGCAAAAGCTGAAGCAGCGGAGCAGTCGCAAAAGCCCGGGTCTGAAACTGGCAAGCCGAAACCTCGCAAACGTAGTGGAAAGGCCAAGCAGAAAAGTGAGGTGAGGAAGCTACTTGCGCTTCCTTGAGCCGCGGTTTGTCGGGCCTAAGCTGTCAGCTGACGGAAGCTGCCATTTCAAAAATGTGTCAGCGGGAAAAAGCGTCACTTGAAAGCGGATCTGCCAGAACTCAGAAAGTGAGAGCTCGATGCGGTTCGACGCAAGAAACTTGGCAGGGAGTTCCGCGGAGCCATCCCACCGAGAAAGCAGGTCTGCGTCGTCGTTCTTCTCGCCAGCTATATGGCTGCAGTCCAAAGTGACACCGGTGTTCAAATACGAAACGCATTTTGTATTCCCCCAAAAGCATTGCTCAAAAGTTCAGGCGAACAGCTCAAAGGATATTCCTATCTCAAAGCATACGCAATCAGCTCGAATCGCAAAAGTGTGAATATGAAATATTCCAATCACCAATCATATCACTGGCACATCGCACTCGTTCCCTTCGCACTATGTTTTATGCCGTGGTGGAAAACCGCAGAAGTAAGATCTGACAAGCATCCGGATTCAAGGTTTAAGCAAGGCCCATGGGGCCAAGCATTAACCCGGGAACTTCCGGGGGACAATGACCCAACGGAATATGCACTGCTAAATGTGAACTATACTGAAGCGAGAAGCGCAAAGAGTCCACCGCAACGACTTATTGTCAGCGGGAGAATACCTGCGCATCCGCACGACTGTGCAAAAGGAGACAGCTGTCGACCACCAAAGGGAGTGGTGGGTGGGGAGAAAAAAGTTGAAGCTCGATCTGGAGCCGCCAAGCTTCAGCATTCGAGATGCATCGCCATGCTCCAATCTCAAGACAAGCCGCATGCAAAATGAGGGAATACAAAATTGGAAAAACACCGACCGCAAGGAAAACAAAATGGTTTGATATTTAAACAGGATCGAGTAAACACGATAGCCGTTCATAAACGAAATGCATTTTGTATTCCCCCAAAAGCATTGCTCAAAAGTTCAGGCGAACAGCTCAAAGGATATTCATATCTCAAAGCATACGCAATCAGCTCGAATCGCAAAAGTGTGAATATGAAATATTCCAATCACCAATCATATCACTGGCACATCGCACTCGTTCCCTTCGCACTATGTTTTATGCCGTGGTGGAAAACCGCAGAAGTAAGATCTGACAAGCATCCGGATTCAAGGTTTAAGCAAGGCCCAACCCAAAACTACCACGGCACAAAACATAGGTGGAGGAATCGCCATGCACGCCCCACAACTAAGTGAGACGAACACCTATGGAAAAGAAGCTCAGCATCTTTCGGAATCAGACGACGCCCCTCGCAGAGCGCAGTTCATCTCGGCAGCTTCCACAGCAGCTTGGCTTCAGCAGGAAAAAGACGAACATCATGACGTAGATCGAAGAAATCAGCGACAGTGAAGCGATATCTGAAATCAAGATTCCAATCATCAGGAAGCTGGCTGACCCCGTCCCAACGAGAAAGTAAGTCAGCTTCGGTGTTCCTTTCGCCAGCAATGTGTTGCACGTCCAGGCACAGGCCCATCCGAGTGCTGATCATAGCGACCAGCTGAGTAAAGAAGCAAAGAGGAGATTTCCGTCGTCAAGAGCTTTGCACAAACGGATTCCGCGCCAGAATTGTCGCAGAAAGAAGGCATCGAGATTCTCATACGCCCGCCTGGGCATAGGTGGCCAAAAAGAAGCATAAGGCCCACTTGAGCCAATGTTTCCCAGCAAGAGATGTCCTTCTGCGCTTCCGCGTGCAACGGAAGCTCCAAGTACTTGAAGTCTGCCAGATCGTAACGCTCGGAGAACCACAAAGGTTCCGAGTCAGGCAGCTTGATGAAGCCGCCAATGCCAATCGAAGTACCCTGTGCGCAAGCATCTGCCGCCATTGTTGCCTCCAAAGACCGCTGAGGCAGCATCAAGCATTCATGGAACATGTAAGAGCCGCACCAATCGAACCAGAATTGCAAAAGACGCTTGCTCAGCAGGGATAAGCGTCGAAAGCGAGATTGAGGATCCGCAATCCGCAACCACACACGTTTGGATGTGAGTGGAACCCTAGCCAAGTCTGATTTCTTGTGCAATTCCACGTGCCTCGCACTCAACAGCTTGGAACCCACAGGAATGGCCGCGCCAGCAGGAGTGGAGATGAAGATCATAGCATCCGACAGGCAGGGAGCCAAAGTGCTCCAACGGGCAGGATCAATGGAAAAAGACGTCCCCGGCGGCCTGGAGATATCATCATACAGACAAGAAAGCCAGGGACGAAGCTCCTTGTGAAGTTGAGTAATCCATTGAAGAAGACCCAAAGCTTGTTGGATCGTCTTCAGCTCCACACGGCCGTCACCAAGAAGAGGATTCAGCAGGCCACGAAGTTTCGCACGTTTAGACTCCGGAACCCTAACCGTACCTGCCCTGTACGACAACTGCCATCCTATCCAAAGACAGTCCGAACCAAGCTGCAATTTTGGCCACGACAACCTGATCCCAAAGGATGCCGCAAATGCAAGAAGGAGACACGCCGAGATGTCCAAGGCGCCAGAGGCCATGGCCAGGATCAAGTCGTCCACGTACATGGACATGAAGTGCGCCAGGAAAATCAGAAGATGCCAAGTTCGCATGAAGAAACCCGAGAGGCGCTGCCACCAGTACGCCGAACAGCTCATGCCGAACGGCATGACCCGGTAGAAGTAGGTCTTGCCATTGCAAGTTATCCCAGCCAAACCACGGTCCCGCTCTTGCATGAGGATGCTTTTGTGCGCCGCTTTAATGTCTAGCGAGAAGGAACGAAGTTCCGAAACCTGGCCTCTCAGCGGATAGCTGGATTGCAGATCGCCCAGACCAGGCAGGTTGTAACGCTCGGGAATGTGACAGGCCGGATTCACTCCAGAGATTGTCTCATCCACAGTCAAGCGCGGATTTTTATCCGGGACCAGAACAACATTGAGTTTCCCAATGGCAACTTCTGGCCATCTGGAGCGAGCCTCAGCAATCGGGACCTTCTCCAGATAGCCGTTATCTAGCTCTTCCTGAATCAAGGCATCCAGAGTCTCTGGGTTGTCGCGAGCCCCCTTCCAATTCTCAGTGCACTCCAGCAAAGGTTGCTCCTCCGAAACTTCGTCTTGAGGAGCCGGCACAAACACTCCGCTTTTGGGAATGTTCTTGAAGTACCCGGTGGGTGCCCCAGATTGAAGGCAGGAGAAAAGAGTTTCATCTGGATCCTCCAAGGCCTCAGAGAGCTGCTGCAACGCTTTCAGAGTGTAAGGTTGAAAAGGCTGACTCGACCAGTCCACCGGACGGCCCGTGGAGGCCTCCAAGAAATCCGAAAAAATTGCCCGAAAGCATTCGATCTCTGATTCCGCAAACAACGGAGACTCTGATTTGGCGAGCACGTGCTCGCGCAGACGAATTGGGGCCTTCATCTCGAAAAGCTTCTGAGTGAGCGCATGCCGAACCTGTTGCAGTCTGTCCACTGTCCCACTCGGAGGAAAAGACCAGTCGGGGACAGAAAAAATGCCAGCGCCATCTTGATGTGCAACAGGCATGTCAAAGCGACCCTTGGCTGGGAGAAGCTGATACAGTTGAGACAGCTGAACGTCCACCGGGTTCCCAGCCGTAGCAAACAGAGGAAAAGCTGCAGCGACATAGGCATCCGCGAGCTTCGCGGGAAATTCAGAAGTCTGTTGGGAGACGAAACCTCCAAATTCATCTCGAACCCCTGCAACCGGCCGATGAGTGCCCTCAGCGTGAGTACAATCCTTGGCCAGCTGCTGCATGTCTCGAAATGTAGTAGCGAAAGCCCAGCGTTTCGAAATGTCCCAACCGTAAGCGCAAGCCGCCACTACCAGAACATCAGCGCTTGCCTTCTGAAGAAGTAGACGGACGGGTTCTTCTAGCCAAAGCATGCTATTAGCAGGATTTTCCAGGCTGAAGTGGCCGCCAGCCTTATAGGAAGCATGAAGAAGTTCGGATGCACGCTGCATCAAGGTCCGGCTGTTCACCACTCTCTCCTGTTCTGGTGGCGAAAGACCTGGGACCCCTGACAAGTATTCGGGAGTTCGCAACGGCTTGGGACCAGGCTGAATCAATTTGCACCGTGAGTACTCCTTACACGGTGGCGAAGCATGCGCCAGAGTGACTGCTCCAGAGTAACACAACCGAAGAAGCGGCTCATAAATTGAATCATCCAGAAGATCGTGCTCTGCAGACAACAACGTATCTATCGACATAACAGATACACCAGCTTGCAAAAATGCAGAAGACAGCGGCCGAGCGTGACCCGCAAACAAGTCCAGGAAAAGATTGCCCCGAACCTTGGAGAGATCAAGAACTGATGGGGGTGAAGGAAGAAGCACCGCCTCCGCTGTGTTGCCAGACTCCAACTGCTCCGCAAAATGCGGCAAAGGAAAGTGCAACTCCCTCAGCTGCTGCAAGTCGTCCTGCGAAACGCCTGGCAATTGGGCTGAAGTGTATGCTGTCAGGACCCATCGATCCCCTGTCCAGTGCTCTGAGCAGTGAGGCAGAGAGCCGTCGAAAGAAAATCCCGATCGGCGAGTGTTGAAAATGCAACCCCGCAAAGATTGATCCGCCTGCGCATCGGTTGGCGGACATCTCGGGAGATCCGGGTACTCAGAACAATCCATCTGAATCCACAAGCCCCCTTTGTCAAAAGCCCCCAAGCTGCACGAGTGATTCAGCGACCCTGGGGCGTTGAAATCCGAATGAAGATGAGCGAATTCATTGTGCGATATGCAGAAACTAGACCACGTAGCTGTGGGAAAAACTGATTGCAAGAAAAGATTGATGTACTTCACCAGCATTGGATTTTCCATGGTGAAGCGACAAAGTCCGCCTAGGGAGCCCGAGCGAACCCCAGCATTGAAGTAGCTTGCGTGCTCCCGGCCACCATCCAGAACCTTGTTCCTCATCAACTGAGTCTGCCCTGGACAGTGTTGTTGCAAAACTGAAAGGCAAGTCTCCCAATCCAGAGGCTGCTGAGAAGTGTCCGCCTGCATCTCCGATGCATCCAAGCGGCCCGTCCTGACATCCGAGGCATCATCCGAGAGTCAGTGGGGCATCGCCTTGTGTTGATGCGCCGGGTGCTTGCCCAAGCAAGGTCTGCCATCCGGGCGAGGTACAGGGCACAAATGCTCGAATTTGCAATCCGTGAAAGAGCAGCCCTTTGCCGAAGAGTAATCCCGACAAAGAAAACGAGTCTTGCCCTTGTCCTCGAACTTCGTAATCCACTTAGCCCCAGACGGAGCCGTCTGACCGGCATTCGCCCCACGGCCCTTACCCCCGCCCTTCTGTTTGCCCTTGCCACCAGGAAGCCGGCGAGAGCCTGGCGGGATGTCCAGTTTTTTGGGGACCGCCACACGAGCCTGTAGCAACGAAGACATGTCGCCCCTAATCTCTGTGTATTCCGTCAATGCGTCATCCAAAGACCAGCCATGCAAGTTTACCAGATCGGCCATCTGGCACCATAGCTGACGATCTGCCTGCATGATTTCCTCAGCAAACGGATTGCGAATGCCCGCCTCACATTTTTGCGTCGCCAGTTTGATGAACTTGCGCTCAAACTTGCGAAGGCTAGCAAGGTGCGCGCCCTGAAGCATCGCTACAGCCACTGAAACCAAGCCCAAGATGCCCGAGAGATAGTTCGCGCCAACTGCTCCAGCTGGTATCTCACGCTGGGGTACGTCGTCGTATATCAGCTCTTCTAACCGAGGCACCTTAGCTGGGCGCCGCAAAGCCATTGAGTCTTGTTGGGCCTGGCTCATCCTGAGTTTCCACGGGATCCACCGCAGCTCTCCTTTTTGAACGACCTTAGCCACGTAGGCTAGCAACCTGGCCGACGGATAATTGTCGGGATCTAAGATCTCCCCCGGGTAGCGGGCGTGAAACTGTTTCTGAAGAGACATCACACGCTCGCCTGAAAGCTTCGGAGGAAACTGTTCAGACCAGCTTGAGGTCGACAGCCCCGATGAGTTCACCTGTTCCTCAGGGCGCTTGCCCTGACGTGCCGATGAAGCCTGCTGCCTGCAAGACTCATAAAGCAGTCGCAACGAGGATAACAGAAGAAGACGCTGAGCCGTAGAAGGAGGCTCCTCTGACCCCTCCAGCAGATCCTTCAGCGCCTCATCCAAAGCCGAAGATTCCGAAGCAATGCAGCCGAAAAGGTTCACATCAAAGCCTGCAAGAATTCCATGGTAGTCCGGTGGGACCTTGCACTGAACCGCCAAGGCTACCAGAGCATCATCCAAAGGCTGAGAATGAGCTTCCGGCTCGCCCTCCGTCATCGCCCTATGACAATGGTGGCCAACCACCCTGGCTACACGATGTGCCTGACAAAATGATGCCTGCGCAGACCAGACAGTCTCGAACACGTAAGGCATTCTAACACAGTTACGACACCAGCAGCCGTCTGACTGAACAAGATGCAAGCTTGATGTTTCCTGACGAGTTGTTTCGAAGCTGTTGAAACACCAACTAAAAACAGTTGGACGAATATTCCCCAATTGATATGTGGGGAAAATCAGAAATATGTCACCGTCGCAAATATAAATGCCCATCAATCAACGATGTACATGTTGCAACTGAAGATGCAAGACACTCCGCGCCCGACCAATGTTTTAACAGCGAAGCTCGCCGGTAAAGGTTGTGTGAAAAGAGGAGGCCACCGCAAGGAGATACACACCTTGCAACAATGAAGTTGCATTTCGCAACCTCAATCTGCCCCTAGGAGTGGGTGGGTGGGTTCAAGAAAATTTCACGGTGACTGCAGCAGAGCCACACGACTACAGGCACACGACATGGATTCTCAAGGCATCTTCGAAAAGAGATGCAAAGTGAGAAAAAGGAAAACCCGTGTGCCAAACCCCCCACGTGAAATTAAATGACAAAGCTCTGTGAAAACAGAAAATGTTTTCGTGATAAAGGCACACGAAAACAAAACTCAGATTCTCAAAAACTCACTTTTTCCTTTCCTTTCGCGGCAGACTAGGTCGTCGCCTTGCGGGGCCTAAGCCAGAGGCAAGCTGCGTTCAGCTCGGCCATCCGTGGACAGCTACGTTGGAAAACGCACCTCGAGGAACTACGAGACAAACTACTAACTAGAAACGGCTCGTGGCGTACCACAAAGCAGCCGTGAGTGTGCACCAAACAGCTTGACTAAGGTGCAAAGCAGAGTACAGCGACCCTCAAGCTCAGCCATATATACAACTGCGTCTGCGGACTACCCGTGACTACCTGTACAAGTCACAGCTACTCAGAGTATACAGGGAGTATACTGACGGTTGCAGTTGGGATGGCGAAGGCATTAAAAATGGGATACAAGTTGCAAGTACGGATCCGGAGGGGGCTAAACCTTAGAAGTATTGGTCAAAGTCTCTGCTGAGAGTCGGTCGACACCACAGCACTGCTCGCGCAATGACTCCAGGGCCAATTTGGTCAAGGGAGCACTTCTCGGACTCTTTTCAAACAAATGAGGTAGCAGTTATGTTCAGTCCATGAAACCTCGGATTTTGTTTTGATTGGCCTGGCACCCACGCCGTCATTGCTCAAGAACGGAGCGCGGCAGCCCTCACTGTAAAGCACACTTTGGTAATGACCTGTCAGCACGCTATGTCCCTCATGTACAACTGCGAAGCAGAGCGTGTATGGAATCAGGACGGATTGCAAGGAGGCCTCCCCGACAAAACATGGCATCATTACCTGCGCTGCTGGTGGGAGGGGTACACAAGTGTGCAGTTTCACCGGCTGGCCTGCCTCAAATTTGTATCTCAGCAGCTGCAGCAAAAGGAACTCAGGCGGCTGCGTCAAGGCACAAGTGGTTTCCTGCTCGTTCCAGGCATTGATAAGTTGCTGAAGTGATGCATGCTCGGCATTTGGCATAGCAATCGGCAGCGGCGTATCAAAATTGCTGCGGCCTCTCACTTCGATGCTCGGTCCATCGTTCAATCGTGATTCCCAGCAACCTGCATAGCACAACGGTTGCAAACGTCTGAGAAGGAAAGACATGAATTCGACGGCATCATGTTGTTGCGAAATGCCTGCCCAGCCGCGTAGCACTGGATTCCACGGCAGAAGACCTGGGACATACAAGGGCTGGCGTTTAGTCCCAGCCAGGAGTGCTCGAAAGGCTGCCACATGGGCGCCAAAAGCGCAGGCGGGCTGACCGTAGTGCTGACCTGTCCACATCATGCTTGTGATCACGGCATTGAGGTAACAAACATTGTGGGGGTTTTTAAGGAAAATGGGGTCAGGCCTATCTACAGATCCATGTCGGCTTCTGCGTTCTGCGTCGTCGTTGCCGGCGCGCTCGGGTACTGGGGCTGCGTGGCTTTGAGCAGGGCATCGGCCTGCGCCTGCAGAACCTTTGCCAGCGGCTGCCTCCTCACCCGTTCGCGGCAGAGACGAACGCCGATCAGATGCGTGCAATTGTTGTTGCACAGTCCCAGCAGTGTCGAGTAGAGTTGATCCGCTGCCTCGCCGCGGTTCCCAACCGCCAACAGGAACGTCAGGATGTCGGATTGATACTGCTGGGCCAGCGGGCGCGTGGCGTGGAACTTGTGGATCAGGGCGTCCTGCTCCACCAGCCCGATAAGCCTTTCCACATTCTGTACGACCAGGGAGTGTGCGAGTGGGATCTGGGCCGAGTCGATGATGGACTTCTGCTGCTCCGCATCCCACCTTGAGAAGGTCCAGCAGGGCGGGTCCTGCTTCGTGAGGTGGCCTTTCGCCTGTAGCCTCTCCTTGGTCTCGCCCTCGGTCGCCTGTGCAAGTCGCGCTTGGAACTCCTTCAGCAACGCCACGAGAAGAGTCACCCTCAAGGACAGGGTAACCTTCGGAGGGGTCTGTGCTTTGAGCTCCTTCCATTCCTGACTGATTGCAAAGAGAGTCGTCGCCATGGAGGATGTCCCTGTGGTGGTCATGTACATGAGGAAAGACGAGTCCGCCCTCATCGCCGCGATGTCGTCCTCCTGCCGCAAGGAGAGTTTGGTGACTATCGCCAGCACATTGCGGACGGTGTTGCCGTCGATCTGCTGAGTCAGCGGCTCCTTCCAATCCCGCGACTCCACCCACCAATCCCTCTCCCGCTTCGTCCTGCTCTGATCCGGGCCTTTGCCCTTGTTGGATGGACGTGGCCACTTGGGCTGGCGATCGTCGGAGCCCGTCGCCCTGTGCTGGGCTGCCAAAGAAGGCAGGTGGTGGCCGAAGAACTCCGTCACTTCCTTGGACGGTTCCGCCATCGGCCCTGACGAGATTGTGCGAGAGCAAATGGTGAAAGAGACAGGCTTGGTAGTATGACACGCAATTCGGCGGATGCACAGCTCCCTTTTGCTGGCCTTGAGGTTTGAAGGAACAAGCTCGGCACGGACCTTTGTACTTGAGCCTGGAGTGCGCCTTCAGCTTCTTTGTGACCGCGTCATGATGCTGCCACATGTCTGCATGGGAACGACGGATATGTGATTTCAAGCCTCCTTTTTGTGGTGAGCACCACTGCGTGCAGGCAATGCAGTACTCTCCTAGGATGGCTTGTTGCTTTTCAGCAAGGAGAATCCAGTCTTGTCGGCATGAAGCTTGCATATCTAGACGATCCATGAAGGGTCTGATTTCTTCAAGACACAGAGTTGGGGGCTCAGGTCGATTTGGGTCTGTCGGTGCGCCTTCTGAGACTGCATTCTCGGCGGTATGGGGGCCCTCTGGGTCAATTCTAGGCCGGTTTCCCGCCGTTCTATTACGATTCGGATGCTGACGTAAAAGAACGCTCGCTGCGGGGGCATTTGAGAGCCCCCTCGACCTGGCATCAGGCTCTAAAACGGACCCCGACGAACCGTCGGCTGGAGTCAGCCTCGCAGCGGACTGCAAAGCAGGCTGACTCCCTGGATCAAGTGGAAGATCGCTGGTCTCTGGCATAGGTGTCATAGGTGTCGCAGGTGACTCTGTCTTTGGAAGGACACTGTGTAACACAGGACAAGAAGACAATATGTGCCCCTTAAATCCCTGCCATTTTCTAAACGATTGTCCACAATGTCTGCAAATCGGTAATCCGTTCCGACAGTGTTGTGCTATGTTCACCTGGCTTCTAACCGCTCCTGTCTGCAAGCCTTCTGTGGCTAAGCTGATTCCATGGCTCTGGACGCAATGCGTGCGCATGCCATGCATGGTGTCAAAGACCTTTGCACAGTGTGGGCACGGGAAGGCTTGTTGGGTGGGGTGAGCGGGTTTGGTATTGCCTCCCTGGGGTTGAGTTTCAGGCATCGTGAATGCACGGGCTATCGTCTGCAGCCACTCAAGCTCGTGCGACCGGCCGGGAAAACGTGCATGATTGCCAGCCGTGGAGGGGGTCTGTAGCGCATGGATGCGATTATCTACCAACCGCTGCAAGTGCGACCGGAGTGGTGTCAGGCCACATCTGCTGTAAAGATCAGCGGTTGTCTCATGTGTGATATGTCTCGGAGAACCTGCAATGCAGCGAATGTGGTGGGCTTCCATGCGTGCCATAAGGCGAAGGCTTTCTTCATTGATCCCAACTGCAGCTATGCCGTAACACAATGTACTACGAATGCATGTTTGGTACACTCGAAGCCTCTGCCTTAAGCTAAGGCCCCTAGGCTTGAAGAGTACGCGACTCAGTCGACTCACTGATGCTCGCGCCTGCTTGATGCGGGCTTTGGCGGTCTGACACTCAAACTGCGCAAAGGACAACGTGATGCCTAGGTAATCAAGTTGTTTGATTAGCTGGATGTTGACCGGCGCAAAAGGAGTGCCAAGTTGCACGTACTTGATGCCGTCTTTAACATAGGATCGTTTACGGATCCATTTTGTCAAGGTGTTGCCCGATGCGCGCAGCAAGATCCGAGACTTCTCATCGTTTATCTGCATGCCCGCTGCTTTTAACACCTCAAACAAACAGCCTACGCGAGTGCAGACCTGAGGTCGGCGACCGTTTCAAGCTCAAACTTTGCTAAAAGATCGTCGGCGAAGTATGTGTTGTAGTCACGTACCCAGGCTGCAGCTGAGGCATGGGGCTCGAAATTGGTCAACTTTACAGTAAGCTGATGGAACATTTAATGCGTCACAATCACCCACAACATCGGACTGAGCACACAACCCTGTCGGATGCCATTAGCTAACGAGATTTGGCCAGTATGCCCTTTGTGCTCCACGTGGTATTGTGTGTGGTGGATGGCAAGGACAAGTTGTATAGTATCTTCTTCGATTTCAAGGAAACGCATGGCGGCAGCAAGATACGCATGTGAGACATAGTCGAAAGCTTTACTCATGTCTAAACTGATAAGAGCTCCGCCTGTCACTGTGCTGCGCACCTTGCCTTGTTTGCGGTCCTGAACCTCGATGCGAGAGGCAGCGAGGCGATCACGAATTGTGGAGCAGAATCTCGCCGCGCGGCTGATGGCATTGTAAGTACTGCGGTGCGGCAAGTATGCGTACTGCGGGGTGTTGTTGAGCTTCGGGAGTATGATGTGCATCAGTCTATTTTTGATCGTCCGAGCTAGGGTTTTACCAACCGGATCCTGTAAGGCAATAGGTCGTAACGAGGATGGTTGTGTCGGGGGTTTCTGGGGCTTCGGCAACAGCTTTAACCAGCTCTCAGTCCACTCAGCAGGCAGCCAGAGTTGCCCGGGCTGCAGTGCGCGGTGAAAGATCGTGCATATCACAGGTCCCAGGAGGTCAGCTAGGCACCGATATACTTCAGGTGGGGCAGAGCCTTCAGGTACAGCACGCCCTGATTTATGGGCTTTCAGAGCATGTGTGACCTCCTGAAGTTGCGCATCGAACGAGCTACCCATACAGAAGGTATTGGACTCGGCGGCAGGATCACGTGTGAAAACACTTGTGAAATAACCATGCACAGCTTCAAACTCTCTCTCTGTGGACATCAGTCTACCCTCCTCGTCTCGTATTTGGATGCGGGTTCGGGGTGCTTTAGGGGCCAGGCTACGTATGTGGCGATACAGGGCATGGACATCACCCCGCTGCGCAGCTACTTCGGCCTGTTGCAGGGTATACTCAAGAGCGGCTCGCCTGTTCGCAAGGCCACGCTGCCTAAGTGTGGTTTGTATGCAACGGAAGCGGCGGTGAGCCTTCCAAACCCTGAAGATCTTTTGCCCTAAAAGCCTGCGCGAACCCAGAGCACGTCTAGCAGTCCGCAATTCCCTGTGTGCCTCCCACAGCTGTTGGACTGTTACTTGCATGTTGTCCGTTTGCCACGGTCTAACTCGCCTTGCTTGTGGAATCACCGGGAAGTGCTCACTACAGCAATCAAGGAGTAGGCGGTTCAGGGCAGCAGTCGACTCCGGAGCCTGATCAGCGAGTTTCTGGGAAACTTTCTCTCGAAATGTTTGAAAGGCTGGTGTGTCCTGCCGAATGGCCTGCTGCAGAGTAGATCGCGAGAACCTGGCAGGAGTTCGGGCTTTGGGGGGAGTTAGGGGGACTCCTAGCCTAAGGTGGGCAACCACTGCAAAGTGCTTGCCACCTCCACGCCAGGGGGAGAAGCAGATATCACGCTGTGGCTTGGCTTGCCTTGCGATGGAGTCTGCGGTCGCAGGAGATGCGAGGATGAAATCAATGTGGCTGCGCTTGGGCACCGTACCAGGAATCTGAAATGTGTAGGCTTGCCTGGCGGCGCTCCACGTGTTTACTGCACATAAACCTGTGTGCTGCACAAATTGGCAGAAGTCCTCCACATCAGGTGGGTCACGTGTGGAAGCATACAGGCCTTGTCCAACGTTGCTACCTCCAGGACGCAAGGCGCAATTAAAATCCCCGGCTACACAGCGCAAGTTCCTGAGGGGCAGTGCCTGTACCAAGCAAGTCAGGGACCGCCAAAATTTGCGTCTCAATTCGAGGCGACCTTTTGCAGGCTCAGGGTCCCAAGCCCACTGGTAGCAGCACACAAGGTCAAGCGAGCGAGCCTGTCGCCCCGCTCCCACAGGTATACGAACATGTAAGAGCCGTCCCGGAACCACAGCCGTGTACTGCAGATCGGCTGAGCACGCCAGACAGGAAGATATCAATATAGCTACTCCTGCAAATCTCGTCTGGGCATCCGGCGAATTTACAACAGACCATCCAGGCAAAACAAACTCTGAGAGCTCCTTGCCGAGACCATAATGGGTTTCTTGCAACATGACAACGTCAAACCTGCGACCTTCCTTCTGCAGCCAATTAGCAAGAACATCGTAGGAGGTGGTGCAAAGGCCTCCCACGTTCAGACTGCACACGCGGAGCCTAGTTCTGCGTTCAGGGCCGGAGGGACGCGGCCTGCGCTGTCGAGCGGCATTGTCCTGATTTGCCGCCTGTTCGGACGGGGCTGTTTTGCAGCCGAGGCTTTCGGCTGTGCACCTTTGACCTCTGTACCATGTGACGCCGTCAGCTGCGGCACGTCTCTGCGCACGCCTGAATGCGCGCTTTGCAACACGAATTCTGGTGGAAACAGGTGCCCTTCTGCCTGGCTTCGCTGTCTGCAGGAAGCCTTCATGAACGGAGCCTTGAGTCGCTCCCGCAGCACTGGCAGATGGTGCTGCAACCCTCGCATCTGTGGAGTGTGCAGGTACGAATGCAGGCCTCGGTGGCGGCACTCCACCCAGGGAATTGGGACCCTGGCGGCCCTCTGAGCTTATGACGGCAGGTCTGTTGCTAGGTGCTGTTGCTGCGTTCCGTGCTGGTGCTGGTGTAGTCGGCAGTCCCGGTGGCGGGTAAAGACAAGCATGAAGTGAAATCTGCATCAAAATGTGAAAACACGTGAAAATGGAAAAGTACGTGGAAAGAGCAACCATGCGAGTCACCATGCGAAAACTGCGCAGCTACACGTCTCAGAGCACCAACGCCCGTAAAATCTGGGTAGTGATGAGCACCTGCAATCTACCCCGCCCACTCACCTACAAGAAGCTCGGGCCGAGATGCTTCAAAAACTCACTCCGATGGACACGTCCACTTCGCGAGTCTTGCTGGTGCTCAGCAAAGAGCCAAAGAGCCAACAGCAGTCAACAGGGTTCGTGCGCGCAGGTGCTTACGATAGTTGTTTCGAAGCTGTTGAAACACCAACTAAAAACAGTTGGACGAATATTCCCCAATTGATATGTGGGGAAAATCAGAAATATGTCACCGTCGCAAATATAAATGCCCATCAATCAACGATGTACATGTTGCAACAGAAGATGCAAGACACTCCGCGCTCGACCAATGTTTTAACAGCGAAGCTCGCCGGTAAAGGTTGTGTGAAAAGAGGAGGCCACCGCAAGGAGATACACACCTTGCAACAATGAAGTTGCATTTCGCAACCTCAATCTGCCCCTCTTCGGAGAATGACGGAATGCTACTTCCATGGATCTCTGGTCGACAACTTTGTGGCCTTTGAGCGCGATGCCGGATCCTTCTGAGGCGGGGCCCCTCGCTTACGCGATCTCCACTCCGCGATATCTTGATAAAGCGAAGTTCCCAATTCAAGCATCTCCTTCATGATCACCGCTTGGTAATCCTTGAAAGAGAATCGAAGCCTCAACGCAGGATCGAAGCTTTTGAAATCTTGATTTGTTAAAGCATCGGCCAAAGCGTTCTGTAACCTCGGTGCCCAGTGAAGCTCGAGTGACAAAGCACGCCCTTGAAGAACCGTCGCCAGTTCCATGAGCACTGCAACCAGTGGGAAAGAAGTCGTCAGCCAACGAGCCGTGAGCAGACTGTTACCCCGGTTGTCCGTCGCAGCACTGCAAATGAAACTCGCCTTCGTGTTGGGCGGAGCTTCAAACAAGATCACTCCCACCAAAGTCGCAGGTAGCTCGAGTGAAGCAATTGCACGATAAGACTGGCCTGCCATGTGAAACCACGGGGCATCCACATGAGAAATCTTCTCGGCGAACCATTGGCATTTGCGTGGATCGGACTGTCCCGAAGCCCACCCTCCGATCCACATCTGATCTCCCTCAGCCTTTGCGTCCGTGCGGAAAAGCTCCACAGTGGCGCGCCCCTTCCGGGGCACATAAGCTGTGCGAAGATCTTTTAAGAAGAATTATTTTCCAACGAAACTTCCGTTAGCGCGCGTTTGGGAAACCCTAACTGCGCTGCAGAGGAACCCTGTGCAAAACACTCTCTCTTTTTCTCCTAGCGGACATGGGGGGTCAGTTCGGGCCCGATCTTCGGGCACAGACGAAACGATGCCACTGGCATCTTGACGGAAAACTCGACCGCTGGTCGATGGTAAGGCGAACGACTGGTTCACCCCCCCCTACCAGGGAATAACCCGTACCACGGGGAAATAAGGTGAAACATTCTCTGACCTACTGGGTCACTGCAGCTACCAGTTGCTACTTTGTAGTCTGCCTACGGCCTATGTACAAGAGCGCACTCTGTGCTGACGCCTCTCTGCGGGAGAGAACATAGGAGCGCTGCTCCTGGCAGCTCTGCTGCCGACGCGGTGTCCCAGACCCCGCATACTATACAGGGTGTGGTGGGTGGGATAAAAACTTTTTGGATCACAGATCCAACTTCAAGCCGAAAGCTGCACGGCAAAGCTTGTCTAGTGTCACTCACACACAAGTGAAAACACTGTTTTCCTTTTCCGACAAACTTTGTCTACACTTTCGGCGGAAAATAAAACCCATTCACGCACGCATGATGGATGCTTATTTTCCAACGAAACTTCCGTTAGCGCGCGTTTGGGAAACCCTAACTGCGCTGCAGAGGAACCCTGTGCAAAACACTCTCTCTTTTTCTCCTAGCGGACATGGGGGGTCAGTTCGGGCCCGATCTTCGGGCACTGACGAAACGATGCCACTGGCATCTTGACGGAAAACTCGACCGCTGGTCGATGGTAAGGCGAACGACTGGTTCACCCCCCTTGAAGGCACTCGAAGCCTTACTCACCCCCCATTTAGTCCGCGCCGAGTGACAAAGCCAACGGCACTGCGTTGGGCGGCAGGTAGTGGCGCGCTGCGCCTAGCCGCTGAGTCTCTTCCCACCAGTCTCTGCTGGGGCCATCAGCGATGTTACTGTCTGTCGGGACTCGGAAGAAAGCAGCCCTGCACTGCAGAGACTCTTCAAAGTCCACCGCTTGCGAGACTATCGCTGCGCCTTCTACCTTCCGTGTGAAGGCCTTGTGCAAGGAAGTACGCGCTGCGTCGTTATCTATCCAGACGAACAGGTCACTGCCTGCTATATGCTTGGCCCACAGTTGAAGGCTAAGCAAATAGGGCAACAGTTCGCACTCGTAGACCAACTGCTGCTTCTGTGCCCTGGCAACCCACTGGGCTGCAACCTGGCTGCTGATCTGCAGCCCCCAGGTGAAGGCGATGCCTTCTCCAATGAGCACTGCTCCGAGACCACACTTGGGCACCAGTCGCGGGGTCTCCCACTCGCAGGCCCCGTCGATATACAGGTGCACCTTCCTGCGCGCATGGATGGACACTGTCCTGGGCGGTCCGTGCACTACTCGTTGCAGCAGGAACGCCATGGCTTGGCACTGCTGCTCGGTGAGGGGGACTTGCTCTGGTCCATCCCCAGGGACATCGCCGACGCAGATCACTGCCATGCGAGTGTTGCGACCCCAGGCTTGCTGCTCAGCGAAGATGAGCCTGCCGCGCAGGCTCTGCGCTTCCAAGGGGGACATGCTGCCCCGGGCGAGGGCCTCGCTGAGGACCATCCCCAGCTCTGCTGCACGGGTCGGCTTGTTGCTCACGGAGATTTGTCCAAGGTGCTGCTTGGACAAGTCGACTCGCACGCCTAGCACGTCGAAGACTTCGCTGAAGTCGGCATTCTTCTTGGGCTCTGTGGCCACTTGCCAGCCCAGCTTGTTAAAAAGGTTGGACACTGCCAGAGTGACGAGCTTCGAATGCGCGCTGCGCGTAAGAACGGTGAAGTCGTCGAAGAAGCTCGTCATGACCAAAGCAAGCTTTTCGCGGCCGATGGCTTTCAGCGCCTCGCTGCAGCGGAGGAAAGCGTGCACGGCGGCCACTGCGCCGAAAGGCATGCTGTGTAGGTGGGCTATTTTAACCTTCCCACTCTGTGGGTCCACCATGACGATGCACGCAAATTTCTTGTGTGCGGCCTGCACTGCAAGCTGCTTGTAGGCACTCTTGAGGTCCCAGGTCCTGCCTACGATGCGGTGGGCCTGCTCTGCGGGCACACCCTGGCGCAGCCACTCGAGGCACACGGCAAGGAGCTCGTCGATGCTGTCGACTTGGACCTTCTCTGTGGTCCCGCAGCAGCTGTTAATAAAGCTGCTCTTAAAATTATCAATGGGGCGCACTTTGCCCTTTTGCACAACGCCGAAGCGAGACGATACTATCGTCTCGTGCAGCTTTTCTGGCGAGAAGTCTTCCAAGGATAGCCAGCCCTGCTGGCCTTCCTCTATTGTGCTTTCCCAGACCCTGTCCGAGACCCCGTCCTGCGAGGGGCGCAGGGCGCTGCGAACGCCGCGCATACCTATGCTATGGGCGTTTTCCAGTATTGACTTCTCATCTAGAGAAGGAGGCAGGATCTGCACTGGCCACAACCCACTGGGTTGTATCCAGCCAAGCAGGGGAAAACCTTCCCGCACCTGCTGGGCCAATGTCCTGTCCGGGAAGTCGATTTCACTCAGAAGCTTTGCTAAAGCCACTGTCTGCTTGGGCTTGGTGACGCTGTTCACCTGAGCGTCAATCGACGAACGTACCCCGGTCTCGAGGGCTTGGCACTCTGCGCAAGTTCTCGATATATGCATCGATGCCAATGTGCGGCGCTTGGCCAGCAGGACAGTGTCTTCGTGCACTTCGGCAGCGATGGCGCGCTTGAGGGATAGAGGCACTGCCTCAATGTCCCTGGCTGGGTGATCTATGAGGTGCGCTCTGCGCACCCAGTGTAGAGGCTGCAGCGGGATGGCGATGATGGCCTTCTGGGAGGCTTCGATCCACTGGATGAGCCTAGAGCCTTTTGGGAAGCAAGTCCACGACTGTGGTAGCTTCTGGGGGGTCTTCCAGCCTCGAAAGCACCGCGCTGCGGGGCCTTGGAGAGTGACTTTGTCACTGAAGTCTGGCTCGTAGCGCAGGCGACGCAGACGCTTGCGACTGAGAGGCGCTGCCTGGAGTGCTGCTGCGCATTGGTCTGCCACGAGGGAGACCCAGACCGAGCTCAGCTGAGTGGTGTAGGCGCTTTCTAGGGAGGTAGACCACACTGTGGAACCATCCACTGAGGCTCTGCCCCAGGGCAGGTGTTTGTGGCCTCCGTCGCAGTCCCTGCTTAGACCGGAGAACCAATCCAAATTGGAGAGGATTGCAGTACGCTTGCGGCGCATGCTTCCGAACATGCACGCGTCAAACTCCACTCTGTGATCTGACTGCAAGACCTCTCTGAGGCAGGGCATCCTCCAGAGGAGGCTACGAGCTGGATTT